CGTTAGCAACTCCTTTGTCCAACTGTCTTTCTGTCTCTTTGGGCTCTTTCCTGTCATTTACCCTGCCCACCTCCCTATTTTCTGCATATAAACTGACGTTTTCCCAGCCACCATCAGTTCTGAGGAAGGGTCACTGGACCCGAAACGTTAACTCTGTTTTCTCCTTCACAGATGCTGCTAGACCTGCTGAGCTTTTCCAGCAACTTTGTTTTTGTTCTTGATATAAATGGCTAGTTGACAGATAGAAATTTGCAGGTCCATGGGAAAAAGCAGGAGAGGTAATCAGCATTGCCAATTCATTTCTACCTACCCATGGTCCCCAAGGTCAACTATTCTCCTTCCCTGACTTGCTATGAACCATCACTTTGTTTGGCTAACTTTCTTTTCCTCTGTCCCTGGGGTCTTTCTACACTGATCTGCTCACTCCTCACCCTCCACCACATCGACACCCGCGCCCCCCCCCCCCCCCCCCCCCCCCCCCCACCCCCCACTTGCTGGCATCAGCATATATACCAACTAGTCCTAGCTCTTTTTAGCTGGGTAGAAAGGTCACAACACTCAAAACATTACTTCTGCTTTCTCTCTCCACAGATGCTACCAGACCTGCCGAGTTTCTCCAGCAATTTCTGTTTTTCTTTGAAGTAGTCGCAGTGTACCACTGTGACTCATTACGCAGCTCTTTCTAAAAGCAGGGGCAGTTAAGATTGCCAAATGGTTACGTCTTTTGTTGTATCATAAATTCATGAGAAATCTTAACCCTCCTTTTATGGAAGTGGTGTCAGGGAGAGAGTGATGCAATGCGTGGTGTCATTTATAAATATATGCTTAAATAACACACAGAAAAAGAGTTTCTAAACCTGAGAATAGGACTTTTGTATTCTTCAACATTTTAGCATTTATTTTCCTCTGCTCCTAGGAATGCATAATCACCCAGTTACCACCTACTACCAAGTTGCATTGGCTGTGCTTGCACTTTGCAAACAAGGTTACTATATTAAGAAGGGCGATATCAAAATTTTCGCACAAGCTGCAATGAACAACACCTTCTCTTATGGAGGCCATTTCTCAGTGGGTAAGTGAAACATGTCAGAGAGGGTAGGTAGATGGTAGACGCAGAAGGGATGGTGAGATGGATGGAGAAATCAAGAGAGACAAAAACTGACATGGAAAGGAAGAAAGAGAGAGGGAGGATAGAAAGAAAAGGCAAGCGATGTGGGAACAAGATAGAGAGGAAGACATGGTGGAGAGAGAGAGAGACAGAGAGAGGATGAGACTGAGAGAGGGCAAGAAATGGAAAGAGAGAGGCAGAGACAGAGAGAGACAAAACAAGAGACAGAGGGAGAGAGATAAAGAGAGACAGTGAAAGAGAGAAACCAAAGAGAGAGAGAGACAGTGAGATGCTAAGAAAGGGAGAGAGACAGAGAGACAAAGAATGGCAAAGAGCGACAAAGAGAGATGGGAAGATGAGGAGAGAGATAGATATATGGAGAAAGAGAGAGGATCGGGATTGGAGAGACGAATAAAAAGAGACAGTGGAAGACAGTGAACCAGGAGAGAGAGAGTGAGAGAAAAGAAGAGAGAAAGAGACAGGGAGGCAGAAAGACAAGGGAAGACAGAAATATAGAGAGAAAGAGTCTGATGGAGGGCAGAAAGACTCAGGTACGGTAAGAGAACACTCTTCAGCACCTCAAAAAGTGGTCTCTGCTTCCCAATTAACCAGTCTGTCCCTCCTTGAGACATGGTCATGTTAGCCCTTTAAACTAGCTGTCTCCCAAGTGGAAATGTGCTGCTCAGTACCATTAACTAATCTTTGTTTCCTCTTATCAATTGCATTATTCCACATGTAAAATTGGTTTTCCTGGGAAAAAAGAATAGTAACTTTATCTCGTATGTGGTTTGCGGTGTCCCCTTGAATTGGTATCTCCCCCCTCTAGACAGACATTGTGTTGTCCTTTAATCAATCTATCTCCTGTAGACATGAACTTCCTGGACATATTTCTGTTTCTCTGCTAGATACGGCTGCTATGGCTGCCATGGCCTTCAGCTGTCTGCAGGATTCCTACCAGCCAGCTGACTCCATCAAGATGGCCTTGACAAAACTGATCATGCAGATTTTCTGTGCAAAAACTGCTCAGGGAACAATTGGAAATATCTATAGCACTGGCCTGGCCATGCAGGTAAGATCCATACCAGAATGATTGGCAACGGCAGCGAACACACAGTGAAACAAGAGGGGAGTAAGGGAGAAGAATTGTTGTAAATGCTGAAAGACAGCAATGGAGAAAGGGTAACAGGGGCTCAGAAAGAGATGATAGGAGAGGAAGGGTGGGTGGGAAGGAGGAGACAAAGGGTGAGAGAAGGCTATAGGTCGAGAATTAGGAAAAGAGAGAGTCCATTAGAGAAAGGGAAAATGTGATAAGAACTGAAAGGTGTGTGTGCGTGCGTGTGTATGTGTGTTTGTGTGTTTGTGTGTGTGGGTGTGGGTGTGGGTTTGGGTATGTGTGATTATGCAGAATAAGCAAAATGACAGTCTGAGCTAGAGGAGTGAGAGATACAGGGAAGATACCGCGAGAGAGAGATAAAAAGAGAGAGAGATGTCGATAGAAATGGATAAAGAGATGATGATGAAGGGAGGAAGAGAAATTAACTGATGGTATATGATCACAGGGACAGTGAGAGAGCGAGGTAGAGAAAGTGAAATAGTTTGAAATAGAAGGAAGAAGGGAAAGACAGTGACATGAAAGAGAGAGAGGCAAAGGGACGGGAAGAGAGAAAGGATGAGAAAGACAGATCAGAAGAGACACAGAACACCAGGGGAGGATCAGGGAAATCAAGGAAGGGACAAAAGTTCAAGTTCTGGTCAAAACTATATATGGAAATCAACGTTATACACTGTGTGCTGTCTGGCCTAGCCATTCTATACAGAAATGTGAAAGAACAAAACCCTTTTGAAAATAGTCAAACTAAGGTCAATACAGATGAGAACTGTACGCAGTGCTTGTGTGGTCTAGTCAAGATGTCTAGTTACTCCTCATATGGTTTCAGCAATGTCAATGGAGACCAAAGCTGTGTACAGTGCTCCTTGTCTGGTCTCAACAATACCAAAGCAGACCAGAGAGTACACAACAGTCTGGGGATGGTTTATTCATGGTTTTAATCTAACAAATATCTTCCATTTTAAATCAACCTCAGCCATTATTGTGCTTTATTAGAAAAAAATATTCAATGAGCCTTTAACTTGGAGCAGAATTCTTCAGGGTATAGATGACACTCAACAAGAATAATTTTTTACATTGAGGAAGGGAGTCCTTTGTTCCGCTGAGGGTTGCTTATGTAAGAGGCAAAAATGGAAATGATGAACAATGTGGTTGCGCTAACAACAAAATGGTGGGCAGTGGCATGCTGGTAATGACATTGGATTAATAATTCAAAACTCCAGCCAAATGTTCTTGCAACATGAACATAATAAATGGTGGAATTACATAATTAAAAACAATAGAAAACAAACTTAAATAAGACTTGCTGAGCAGCCAGTATGGAATGACTGTTGTTAGGATCCATCTAGTTTCCTTGTGCCATTTTGAGAATGAGATCCGCCACCCATACCGAATACATGTGATTCCAGACCCACAGCAAAGTATTTGGCTCTTAACTTCTATCTGGTCCAATTGGGATGAACAAAACCTATGGCTGAGCCAAAGATGCCCAAATAGAGTCATAGGGTCATAGAGATATACAGCATTGAAAAGACCTGATGGTCCATCTCATCCATGCTGACCAGATATCCAAAATAAATCTGGTCCCATTTGCCAGCATTTGGCCCACATCCCCCTAATCCTTCCTATTCATATATACATTCAGATGGCTCCACCACTTCTTCTGTTAGCTCACTCCATTTGTGCACAACCCTCTGAAAAATTTGCCCAGTAGGTCCCTTTTAAATCTTTCTCTTTTCACCTTAAATGTATGCCCTCTAGTTTTGGACTCCCTCACCCCGGGGAAAATACCTTGTCTATTTACCCTATCCATGCCCCTTATGATTTTTATAAATCTCTATAAGGTCACCCCTCAGCCTCCGATGCTCCAGGGAAAATAGTCCCAGTCTATTCAACCTCTCCCAATAGCTCAAACCCTCCAGCCCTGGAAATAACCTTGGAAATCTTTTCTGAACCCTGTCAAGTTTCACAACTTCCTTCCTATAGCAGGGAGACCAGAATTGCCTACAGTATTCCAAAAGTGGCCTAACCAATGTCCTGTACAGCTGCAACATGGCCTTCCAACTCTTATAATCAATGCACTGACCAAAAAAGGCAAGTATTCCAAACGTCTTCTTCATTATCCTATCTACCTGTGACTCAACTTTGTAGGAACTATGAACCTGCACTCCAAGTCTCTTTGTTCATCAACAGTCCCCAGGATTTTACCATCAAGTGTTTAAGTCCTGCCCTGATTTGCCTTTCCAAAATGCAGCATCTCACATTTATCTAAGTTAAAATCCATTTGTCACTCCTCGGCTCATTTGTACATCTGGTCAAGATCCTGTTGTATTCTGAGGTAATCTTCTTCGCTGTCCAGTACACCTCCAATTCTGGTGCCATCTGTTTCCCATAAACTAAGAGTAATAAAAACAGTGGATTGCTAAAGAACCTTTCCATATGAGGTGAAGGAACCTCTTCAGTTGAACCACACAACTATTTCATGTTTCTTAACATCAAGACTGTTTGACAGTTCTTCCTTGACACTTATCCCAAGTCAGTTCATGTTCCAAAATAGCCAGTCTGAAACATTGATCATTTATTAAGACCTTCCAGATCACTAAACAGGCATCCTGCACATTTGTATCTAATTAACTGCTTTGAAAACTCTGTATGCATATTTGAAGCAGTGACAACATAAACAGACATAAGATAATCCACATAATTTTAAAATATTTAGCAGCAGTCAAAATAAAACCTCAATACTGTTTAAAAAATGACCATCTCTCAGATCCTTAAAAAATTGATCTGGATCCAAATTATAATCCTCACATTAAAAAAAAAAACACAGAGCATCTCTTCCTTTCATAGGAGCATAGTAACAGGAGTAGGCAATTCAGCACCTTGAAACTGTTCCACTGTTCAATGGTTGATGTTTGGCCTAAATCTATTTACCAACTTTTGGTCCTTATCTCAACACTTATGCTTAAAAAAAACAAACCCCTTCAATTCACCTTAGGTCTTCAATTTAAATTTCACAACTGATTCAGCATCCACCGCAGTTTGAGGAAGACAGTTCCAAACAACTACTGTCCTTTGTGTGTAGAAATGCTTACTAACATCTCTCCTGAATGGCCTGGCCTTAGTTGTCAGACTATGTCCCCTAGAATCTCCAGCCCGTGCAAATAGTTCCTTTTTACTTGCCCTGCCTTTTCCTGTTAATATCTTGCAGAGTTCAATCAGATCACTATTTAGCCTTCTGTATTCCAGAGAACACAGGCTTAATTTGTGTAATGTCTTCTCATAACAACCATTGAAGTCCATGTATCATTCTGTAATCTCTCGTCATTACTTAAGCCTCAAAGTCCATATATCCTTGGGTCATATCCTGGGATGTCCATTACTCTGCTGCTGTGGCTAGTGAAATAATCAATTCTTCACCTGCTGTGAGAAAAGTTATTTCCAAATGTGGTTGAGGTCAAATAAAGGAAATGTTGAGTATTCACTTAATAAGGGTTATTGTGTCATATTAGAGGTCCATAGCTGATTGAGTATATTGCAATTCCTTATTCTGTCCCTCTCCTCTTTCATTTACAGGCTCTTATTGCTAATAGTCAGTTCATCCCATTCCCTGTGTGGAACTGTTCAAACACTCAGGAGAAGGTTGAGGAAGAAATCAGGCAGGGAGCATTCTTAAACTCAGAAATGGCTTCACAGATCTTGCCACCTCTGCTAGGCAAGACATACCTGCAGGCTGGTCAAGAGGGCTGCGCTGGAGTGAGGGGTAAGTTAAGTCTGAACTATGTGAATAAAGGATAAGACAGAATATTTGATTCTAGTGATTATTAGTTCCTCATTTGGTTATTAGCCAGAAGGACAAGTCTTAGGTTCTGTACACTCCATTGGCTCAATCCCAATAGTCTAGCCTGACATCCTTTATATAGCCATTGCTGAGGTAAATGGAAGTGCAAAGGGAATGCTATGCTGTTGGAGTGTCAGTATTGAGCGATCACTGCACATTTGGTGAGTTAGTATCAATTATACACAACTCTCAGAGGGTTCAGTACTGTCAGTGAGTCAGTGCTGTAATGAAGCACTGAACTAAGTTCAGCAATGAAGAGCTGCATTGTTAATTGGTGAATACTAAGAGAATGATGAATAATTAGAGCAGCATTATTGAGGGAACATTGGATTATCTGAGGGCCAGTAATAAAAGGAAACTGCCAAGTGCAGTAGTAAGAGAAGGTTGCACATCAGAGAGCTCACAGAGTGTTTGTTTATGAATAAAGGCCTTGTTACACTGCACTCTCAACGGGTCAGTGCAGAATCAACATGGCACCATTGATCTTTTAGAGCTGAGTAAGTCTAGAAATATGGGATGGTCAACAGTGCCAGTGAGCCGCACTTCTGAGGAGCGAGTGGGGCAGCACTAATAGATCACCACTCTTGAAGAGGGTCATCAATGACTACTATCTGCAGAGCTGGGGAATCAATAAAAAAGGAACACTCTTCTGCTTCTGGGTCAGCTCTGAGGGAATGCTATACCGTGGAAGATTGGGTTTTAAAGGCAGACTGCTAACTTGGGCATTAGGATTGAGTGAACACTTCACCATGAGAAGGGTAGTGCTGAACAATTGCTCTACTGTCAGAATGTCCATGCTAAGATTGCTTTGCTCTTCAATGGATTTTGTGATGAAGAAGCTCTGCAATATCAGTGTGATAAGCATAGGAGCTGGACCATATGAGCTCTGGTTTATAGCTTGTGTGATCTTCTACAGACAGAAACAATAGTTATGTTGTTGGACAGCAGTTTATCCCATAATGTTAGGCCATATAATTCAGTCATGGCAGCACCATGTGACTGTTAAGAGGAAATGAATTACTTCCTTCTTATTGATTTTGATCATTTCTGGGTCTTAGTGGGGCATCCATATCATTTATAACTGATCAGTGGAGGGTTGGAGGCTGGAGGATGTTACAGAGATAGAGAACACTTTTGGTGTGCAAAGTAACAAAAGTGGAGGCTTTTAGGGACTCGAGGGGCTTGAGGAGATTACAGAGAAATGGAATTTTGTTAAGGATACAAAAACTCACAGAAGTGAGCATGATTGTAGGCACTGGAATTGGTTACGCAGGTATGGAAAGTTTTAGCGACTGGGTGAGGCACGTGGAAAGGGTAGAGGACGTTGCAGATGAATAGAAACAGATCAAAAGATGCTGCAGAGACTTGGGAATGTTGCAGGAGTTGAAATTAGTCAAAGAGAATGGAGAGCTGTAGACCATTTCCAATACAGGTATTTGGCTGTGTGAATCAGTGCCAGATTCATATACCGTATGTACATATTGTTCTGATACTGAGACAACCAATCACATCACAACACAGTGATAACAAGGTGTAGAGCTGGATGAACACAGCAGGCCAAGCAGCATCAGAGGAGCAGGAAGGCTGACGTTTCGGGCCTAGACCCTTCTTCAGAAGTATGACTTAACATCCCCCAAAATTGACTCAGTTGTTCATAATGATACTTTTTGAAAAGCCAAGCAGCATTAGACTTTGTGAACAGCTGCTACGAGAGACTAGGGTTATAGTTAAACAAAAGATTTATCAATTTATTAAAATCATAGCATATTTAACAGAACAAAGCTAAATCACAAGGTAATCTAATTAATTTATGATTTAAAGCAAAGTTTCTTTTGTTTGGGCATTCTGCGTCACTGTGAGACGACAGTATTATCACAACACCTCCTGATGTAGGGCATTATTTCACAGTTGTTAGGCTTGGAGTTACTGCTAAAATAGAGGGTTTCTTGGACTGCTTTTTAAACAGTTTAGATCTGCCAAGTTGGCATTCCAACTTCCTTATATTGGTATTATGCGATTTGTTCAATTCCAAATGGTTTTCCCAAACGTGGCTAGCAATTGTAAAATTCTTTGAGTTTCTGCAGATCCTTCTCCCTTTTATGTTTCTGTCATGACTTAGCCCGCTAACTTGTCTTCACTACACTGGAATGTCATTCTGTTCATATTTCCTAACTGCAGCTGGAAATTGGGTGCGATAACTTACTTACCTTAGAGAACTGCTTTCTTCAATATCTTACGTCTGGGTCCCTTTTAACTTGTTCTGGTCCACTGTAAAGTCTCATAATGATTCTCATATCTTCAGCCTTAGCCAACATTACCAACCCCCCAACACACACACACACACACACACACAGACACACACACACAGTTAAATCAAAGGGAAGGAATAAATGAAATGGAATCGACCACTTCACTGAAGCTGTTGCCACAATCCTTAATCTCACAGGTGCACGGGATTACTTCTTGCTTGGTTTCTGATGACAACAAATGCATGCAGACAGCTTCCAGAGGGCTCTGAGATTAGTCATTTAATTCTTACAACTGAGATTATATTCGCTGAACTTTTATTAATTTAGTAATGAGAGCACAGCAGGGAGCAGTCAAGCTATACTCATGTAGCTTTTGGAGGCACAATCCCTTTGACTTAAACATAGTCCCAAAAATAATTCAAACTCGGGCCTTTAGACTGGCTGCCTCCCCATGAGGTCCCAGTTAGAATTCAAAATCTTCATCTGTTTAAATCCACTCTGGAGCTGAAATAGTATGGAGAAATTTTTAACTAGAAGCAACCTGCGATTAATATTTATGCCCGGACTCATAAACAAAGTATAGTTGTTTTCAAAAAGAATTTGCTGTTCACAGTCGAAAGGTCATCTTCAGTTCAAAACAAACTGTTCACAGCTCCAAATGGCAAAAACAATTTAAAAAAATATTCATAATGAAATGTAAGCAAGTGTTCTAACATATTTAATCCTCTTTTGTTTAGAAACCCAGTCAAAGGCAGAGATGAGCGATGACAGAAACATCGCTGTGGACTACACCGTAACTAATGCGATATCTTGTAACAATTCATGTAGCCATTCCATTCATCTTACTGGCATTAGAGGAATAAGCCTTCTCCAACTTATGGAAATTGCAGAGAAAAAAAATCCACAACACTTTCAGTGAGTAACATCAAGCATTGTCATGTAGTTACAAATACTTTTGCAAATATGTCATTGCATAGTGGACGATTGTTTGAGGGTGCTTCATTGGAAATCATGGTGTTGGGAAAAATATGAGCTTGGGATTGGACAAGGGAAGGGAGGTCTTGAGGGAAACAAGGTTGGGTGGGGTTGAGGGATATGGTGGCAGACAGGTTCAAGGTTGGGGAACGAGGTGGATGAGAGATGGCGATGAAGGCATTACATTAGTAACTTTCTGAATTGATTGCTAAATGCATTGGAGAAGGAGGAGAAGTTGTAAGTGGGAATGGAATTTCAATGGGAAATCAAGTGGAGAATGAATGGTTGAAATGTCCGATGAAATATGCATGGTGTGGCACTGGGTGTTGGGTCTGCTTGTGGGAATGGATGGTAGCTTCTAGATGATATGGAGGATTGAGCGATGAGATCATAGAATCCCAATAGGGTGGAAACAGGCCCTCCAGCAAAACAAGTCCATACCAACCCTCAGAGCATCCCACTATAACCCACCTAATCTACACCTCCCTGAACACTATGAGCAATTTAGCATGGCCAACCCACCTAGCCTGCATATCTTTGGACTGTGGGAGGAAACTGGAGCACCCAGAGGGAACCCAAGCAGGCACGGAGAGAGTGTGCAAATACCACGCAGACAGTCACTTGAGGCTGGAATCGAACCCAGGTCCCTAGCACTGTGAGGCAGCAGTGCTAACCATTAAGCCACTGTGCTGCCCCAGCATGGTGATCATTTTCCATGTCACTATTTTCAATATCAAATGGTTCTATTGTTGAATTTGAAATATTGGAACATCATTCATGAATACAACACCATTAATGACCTCAGAAAGTGGGGTATCACTTGGCAAGAGCATAATGTGCAGCCTAATAGAACCAATACTTCCCAATCAGCACTGCATTTCACAATGAAAATCTCATTCTCTCTGGTGACAATTGCCATTCTTCACAAAAAATGGCATTTCTTGAAAGGAAACTCACCTACACGCAATGAAAACCTTTCCATTCTTACTAATTAAGGACAGATTCAAAATCAAAACTAATACATGATCAGTGGAAACTCCCGCGACTTGGTGGAGACTTGCCCACACTCAACGGAATCTCATTTTCTCTCTTTGGAGCCTGACTCGCACTTAAACACCCTTGCACTCCACAGAATCTCACTCATCCTCAATAAAATGTCCGTCACATTTATTAGAAAGTCATTTGTATGCAATGGAACCTTACTCACACACAGTGAAACTAATGGCTTTCACAAAATATTACATTTTCGCTGTTCAAAATCACTCCCACTGAATGGGCACACACTCTCATTCAATGAAAACTCACGCTCAATGCAAACTCACATACTCAAAGGAAATTCATTCGTATCGAGTGGGGACTCAAGGCATCAATGGAAACACGTTTTTCTCTGCACGGAAATTCACTCAATGAACGTTAACTTACGCTTAATGGAAACTTGCTCACACTCAATGGGACCTTCTTCATACTTAATGGCATCTCGCTCAGGCTTGGCAGAAACTTACTGACACTCAATGGGAACATACTGATACTTAATAGAAACTCACCCACATTCAATATGAACTAATCCCATCGCAATGAAAACTCACTCACACACAATACAAATTCACTTGCATTCAATAGAAATTCATTCAATGTCAAAGTAAACATACAATAAATAATAACTCACTCAAGCAGTGGAAGTTCGTTCACAAATCAATGAAATTAAAATCACAATGAATGAAAACTCACTCACACTCACTACTAACACACATACTTGATAGAAACTCATTCGTATTCAATGAAAGTGCAAATCCATTGAAAACCCACTCACATTCAAAAGAAACCCATATGTACTTGAAAGAAATACACTCACATTCAGCGGTAACTCACTCATTATTGACAGAAACTCACTCATGCTGAATGTAACCACACCAACGCCCTATTGAAACTCCCTCTCACTTAATAGAATCTCTCAGTCACACTCAATTAACACAGACATAATTACAGGAACATAGTTACACTCCATGAAAACTCATTGTACTGAATGGATGCACATTTTCACTCCATGCAAATATAATTCCTTTTCATTTACATGAAATTCTGTTACTCTCAATGGAAGCCCACTTGCTGTGAAATGGCAAATGATCAGTCAATGTCTGGTTTCTTGCACTCAACAACTTCGAGTGGTAGAGGTAGAAGAATTATGCAGGTGGTGGGGAGTTGGCGGTGGTGGGGGTGGAGGGATTTGTGGAATCATTATTTGACATTCACAGAGAGAGATTGTGAGGGAGACAGAATGACAGAGAGAGACCAAGGCATACATACGCACAGCGGCAGAGAGAATGAGAGTCAGCTAGGAAGTAAGACAGAAAGAAAGGAAGACAGGATGAAAAGGAAAGCAGGGTCAAAGAAAATCAGAGAGAAACTTTGGAACAGAATGCGAGAACGTTATTAAAGAGAGATAGACAGTGACAGGGATGGACAAAGAAAACTACAGGATGAGAGAGACACAAGCGGATACAGATTCCAGTTTAAATATAAGCAGAAGAGAAATAGAAGGAGAAAGGAAAAAGAAGCATGAGAGAAAATACATATATTCGAGATAGTGGCAGAATGAGATAGAAATGAACAGTGAAAGATCTTGATAAAAACCGAAAGAACTGCAGATGCTGTAAATCAGGACTAAAAACAAAAGTTGCTGGAAAAGCTCAGCAGGTCTGGCAGCATCTGTGAAGAAAAATCAGAGTTAATGTT